GTGGACAGCCTGGGCACTATGTCCGCGAGTGCCCCTTTAAGCTGGCGGACGAGTCCGTAGGTCTCTACCGCAGCAATGCGTTTGAGCAGCCACGTAGTACCGGCGCCGGCAGCAGTGGCAGCAGCAACCGCCATCGTGATGGTGGCGGCGGAGGCACCAGCAGCGGCAATAACAGCGGGGGCGACAGGACGCGTGAACGCAGCCGTGTTAGATGCGGCAACGGCCGCCGCAGCGGCAGCGACACTGCTGGCAGAAGCAGTGGCGGCGGCGGCGGTGGAAGGAGCTCACGCCAGAACCGTGCCACGGTGCTGGTCGTTGATGGCAGTGGTAGCAGTTCACGTGTTGTCCTAGACTCTGGTTCGCCTTACCACCTTACAGGTGACCGCTCGCTGTTGCATGATTACATTCCTGCCGGTGCACCCAAGCAAATCAAGTTGGGGAACAACCAGCTAGCCGACGTCATGGGAACAGGGCAGCTGCTCCTACGGACGCGCGATGGAGAATCCGTCTGGCTACGCAACGTGCTCCATGTCCCCAGCTCGGGACTAACGCTCATGTCTGTCGACCTTCTCGTGACGCGCGGCTGCTCAGTCACGTTCGGCACGGACAAGGCGGGCAGCCGGTTCTCGCACGTAGGCCTCCCGCACAGCAGTTCGTCTATCGCCACGTGGAGCGAGCGCGGGCATTACGTCATGGACGTGGACCTGCTGGCGCCGACCAAACGCACCGTCAACGCGCTCGGCGCCACGGAAGGCAGAGCCGGCGGAGGTAGCAGCCCTGGAGGAAGTGCTGCCGGCGCCCCCAGCACTCGCGGTGGCAGCACCGCCAGCAGTCACACCGGCGGAGGCCAACCGAACGGTAAACTGCAGGATAAGCTTGGTCCCCGCATGGAGGCGGGAACCTACCTTGGACCGGACCGCGGCACGGCCGCCCACCGCGTCCTCGTCGACTGTAAGGTGACTGTTAGCAGCGACGTCACCTTCGACGATGACCACTGCGGCCTGGCGTCTCAACGGGCGGGCACCCCCTTCGGCACCAGCCCTGCCCATCCTGGCGGCAGCGACCCTGTCGGCGGCTCTACACAGCCCGCCACACCGCTGCCTCCAGTTTATGTCCCGCCCCCAGTGAACCCAGCACCCCCCTTCCGCCCCAACACACGCAGTCTGGCAACCACTACACCCGCCGCTGGCCCCGGTCTGCCCAGCCAACAACAGCAGCAGCGGCGGCGGAGATTTGGGTAGTCCACCACTGCTTAACAAAGCGTCGGGTAGCACCGATTGTGCTGAGTTTAACGTGCCCGACGGCAGTGCGGACGGCGGAGGCAACAGCACGGTGCAGGAGCCGCGCAGTTATGAAGAAGCGGTGGTGAGTCCGCTAGCTGACAAGTGGAAGACTTCGATGGATGACGAGATCCTGTCGCAGCTTTCCAACAAGACATGGGAGTTGGGCACGCCGCCGCCCGGTGCACGCATCCTGGACTGCCGCTGGGTTTACAAGATCAAACAGGAGCCTGGCAGTGAGGTACGCTATAAGTCGCGCTTGGTGGTGAAGGGCTTTGAACAGCGAGCGGGCATAGACTATGGAGAGCTGTTTGCGCCCACCGCGCGTGCAGCCTCCCTGCGGTCACTTCTAGCTGTGGCAGCGGCCAGGGGTATGATGGTCCATCAGATGGACGTCAAAACGGCTTTCTTGAACGGCGACCTGGCAGAGGAGCTGTGGATGCGACAGCCACCAGGTTACAGCAACGGCGACCCGACGCAGGCGTGCCGGCTGTTAAAGTCCGTCTATGGCCTCAAGCAAGCCCCACGTTGCTGGTGCGAGAAACTGGCGGCGGAGTTGGGCAAACTAGGCTATGAGCCGTCTTTGTCCGACCCCGCGCTATTCGTCAAGCATGGGTCCGACGGCTCAATCTATGTGCTCATGCACGTTGACGACATGCTGGTGGCGGCAGACAACCTGCAGTTGGTTGCGGCCGCCAAGGCGGCCATAGCTGGTTGCTTCGCAGTACGAGACCTTGGAGAGGCGCGCTACTACCTCGGCATGGAGATCGTCCAGGACCGCCGCAACCGCAGCATCATGCTCACGCAGCAGCGTTAC